AAGGTGAAAAGGATTCTGAGAAATTTTTAATTTGGTAAACATTTTTTAAGATCTGAAACAAATTACTACGGGGAGCTCAGAATGGAACAAACTGTGGTTCACTATCCAGAGATTTTTGTAAAAGACTGAAATTCAATGAACTTTGTGCTCCTGAATGTGTTAAAAGATTAAGAACCCTTATTGCATGCTACTTCAAGACAACGGAGATTTTGACTCCATATGAATCCATATGACCTTTTAACAAAGGTCAGACCTAAATAAAAGACTTAGATTTTCAACAAAGCAGATGTAATGTCCTGCAAGTTGTGGGCAAAACACCTCTGTCTAATCAAGCAGATCCTGTTGTCCTGGAAAGAAGCCAAAGCTCATGTCTTCAGGGAATGCCTTTTTCTTGCCTTTGGAGAGGAATCTCCAACTGCAGCTGCCCATGATAATATCTGATTACAGAAGGCATGAAAGTCAGTATCTACTGCAACCATCCCACCACAGTGAATTCCCATTTTATTTCTACCTAATTCGTCTGTGGCACACCCTTTTAAATGAAGGGGCCACAAAATTTGCCCTTGCACAGATAGATACAGCACCATGAGAAGCTCAGAGAAGCTGGGCAGGAATACACTACTTGCCTGCCTTTTCCAAAAAGGAGAACATTCCTTTTCTCTGATATTCCATGCTGGGCCCTGATGGTAGTGGGCTAATAATAGTAGCAGGTCACTAGAGGAGAATGCGTGAGGAGGGTGATAGGTGTAGCCCACAGGTTTTCACCCCTGTTGGGGGAGGCAGCAGTTAGTTTGCTTCATCTGGGTCTCTCTGCTCTCACAAGATTTGTCCTCATACAATCTATACACTTGGAACAGGCTGTGCCAGCAGTTCCAGTCACTTTGGGGCTTCAGTCTCAAGTCGTGCAAAACTGCAGACATGAACAGTGCAAAACTGTCATTAGCTATTTGTTAAACTAGGAAAAGAAAAAGCGCAGTATGTCACCATCCTGACATCTAGCCTAGTACACGAGTTTGTCCTGAAGGCAGCCATATATATGTTTGTCTCTATATCAGAGAATATAAGTTAATTTTGTTGTTGGGGTATTTTTTATGCCAAGGATAATATGCCAAAGGATTCCACACCCAGCAGTGATTTTGTAGATTGGTGGCATGAACGTGGATCAAGTTTACAGAAACAGATTTTTATTGTGCTTATCCCTTTTCTGGTAATATCTAGATTAACAGTAGAGGTGACAGGCCATACAATCCATAAAAGGCAAATTCTACATCGCCATAGTCTCACCAAAATGAAACTCCCCTGTATAATGGTAGAGTAGCATAGACACGTTTTAAAAGTGAATATATCTTTCTGACAGCTGAAGAACAAAGCCCTCCCTCACCTCTCTTTTAATGCCCCTGAAAAGGCATTACTGCTGCCTACTACAGCAATTTTACTGCTGTCCTGAAGGCTAAAAGGGGAGCACATGTGATTTTTTGGTCTTTCAAATAAAATGAAATTTATTGCAAAATGTTTGTTCTTTCATTGTCTTGCCAGCTGGGTGGCTTCAAGATTTTGCATAATACATGGACAGCATTGCACAGTAATTGTTCCCCATCCTCAAAAATTCACAGATTATGAATTCATAGATTTTTTAATGCAGTTGACTGTGGCTGTGAGCTTCTCCATAGCTAAGAAAGACTGAAACCAGTACAGACTGTATGTGTACAGCTTCATTGAATCCATATTTATCCTTAGCCTAAGTTAGCAAAAAATACATCAACCTCAAGTCTAGTACAAGAGGTAACTCAGGGTGGCAGGGTGTGAAGCCCAGATTTATTCTGGGTACCCTTAAACAAAGGGAAATCTAACTGAGATGCCTGGTTCAGGAATATCACCAGAGATACAATGCCTACAGCAGTGTAAGTAAGGCCGCTCCAGAGGGCGGATGAGATTGGGATGCACCACCTTACAGTACCTCTTTATTTATCTAGGGAGAAGTAAAATAGAGCTCTTAGGTGAGCAGTCAGTAAAACAGAGTACAGGTAACGTGTGGAGTTGATATGTACTGAGGCCTGTGTGTCTGAAAGTGTGTGGGTCCTGCCAGAGAGGACTACAGAGGCAGTGAAGTGTCAGAATAGCTGCTGTTGAATCCCGAGTGCTGCTGAGACCTAGGCAGAAGAATGACCTCACAGCTGGAGGTGGGAAGGAGAAAGGGAAAACAGTGAGATAAAGACAGAGGAGCAATTAGGAATAAGGAATGTGAGTAAAGGAAGGAGAAAATGCAAGGAAAGCTAGAACAAAGACGCTGAAAAGGACTCAACACCATGGTAGGCTCACTTTATTGTGGTGTGTATATCTACAAACCTGCTCTGAGCAGTGTGTTTGTTCCTCTCTCAGCAGAATGCACAGGCGCTTCTGTTCCTCACCACTGAGTATCTCTAATGAATGCTCTTTTGTAGCCTCCTGAACACCTCCCATGGCTAATGCAGGGTACACTAACATATTTGAAAAGGTTTGCTTAGCAATGAAAAGATCTGCCCTAACTTCAAAATACATCAGTAGCATGTAGCCTCAGGACCCCCTGTATCTTAAACATATCCCTGGTGGCAAGTCAGATTTAACTGCACGCAAAGCCATGCTGCTTTCCTTCTTTAGGGCACCGCCTCCACATTCAGTGAGAGGAGCTGCAGCCATGCACAGCACATCACCCTGATGTGAGCCCAGACAGAGGACAGGGGACAGAGGCGTTCTCCTCACAGGTGAACTCGTCCCGCACATCGCATCGTGGGCCCAGGAGTCAGCTTCAGCACTGAGAAGATTTATATCTGATTGCTCTTCTTTTTAAAGAATGCCACTCTTGGAGAGAATTTCAGCGCCTGGGGACAAAAGGAATTTGTCAAAAGGAAAGGATTGTTTTGGTTGTTTTGAATTGAGCATTGGCTCTTTGCATGTCAGGGTACTCTGCTTAGGTTTCCCACTTGTGGGTTCTCTGCGTGCATGCTGAAGTCTTTCAGCAGACCTCCCTGGTAGCACTGCAATAGTGGAGTGGGTTAGTCACAACTTTGAAAGTTTTTGAAACTTGACAGAGTATTTCTATCTCTGAAACAATGAAGTTATGCCTGCAGGGAGGTCCTGAAGACCTGGCAGGTATTCTTGGTACAAAAATTGGACAGAGGTCTCAATCCTACATCTCATCCCACCTTATGAACACAAGTGTTCCATGGGAGACTCCTTTAGGATGGACATTGTGCATGAAAAAGTAATTTTGCAGGGTGAGATTGCTCTCTGCTGCCTCTGAGCACTGTGCATGAGTGAGGTGAGGGAAGGAATGGCACTGGGGGACCTGCAGCCTGTCCTGTGCTTGACATCAAGGGTTGCTGCCTCTGGAGTATAGTTTGGAGCAGCCCTATGTAACACCTTGAGCAAGGGGATATAGGAATCTCCTTTTCAGTTCCTTCATTTCTCTGGTGCTGAAATCTGAGATGTCCCCAGAGGTCTGAGGATTTGAAGAAGCCATCGTCCATTCCCAGCTTCAGAAATCCACAAGGTTACTGAACTTAGAAAAACTGCTGATGAGTATCTGTGAAAGGAGGTGGTGGCTTTAGAGTGAGGATTTGGTTATGCAGAGTGGCTGAGAAAAACTTACTCTGAATTAACAAAGTATGTGAATAGAAAGTGGATTATCAATGCCATATAAATTGATGAATTCCTTAAATTCTTCTCTTCAGAATTAAAATTATCCTAATTTGTTTCAGTATAATTATGAAAGAGAATGTTATGCAGGTCTTTAATGAGATATAACTTACTGACTGTAAAACTTAGCCTGGGTTAATTTTTTTGTGTCTCCCAGTAGGGGTGAGATTGGAATACAGGCTTGGATTTTTTTGTTAGTAGGAAGCTTGTATTGTCTTTACTGGGGATTTCAGTAACTGATTCTGGTAATGCAAGAATCAGGTTTTATTATGATTGTACTATTAATTAACATTAGGATATGAAATCTCTGAATAAGCAATTAATTAATCCTCACCATGTCCCTGTGAGGTTGGTAAAGGCTTTGTAGCAACTTCGCTCTTCTTTGCTGTGCTAGGTCTGCTTTTAGCATGGAATGCAGCAAGGCAAAGCAGGGCTACGACATATGGCAGGGAAGGTGAGAATAAAACATGGGAGGAATTAAGCAAGAAAAAAATGTTACTGCCCAGCTTAGAATTTGGTCAAGCCACCGTGAGAAAGTGTTGGGGGAGTTTTAGAATCAGGGTGTCTGCTTTATGTCCGACCAAATCCACACATGAGGGTGCCACACGCACAGTGCACTGTGGTGAGGACCAGCTTAATAGCAGAGTGTAAATATTGTAAAAATAATTGTAAATATGTGAAAATAATTTATCTAATTTCCCTCTGTTCAAAAGGAGAATTTTGCTATTTAAATTAAATTCCTTTAAATAGAAATTAAAGTAAAGAGGGAAAGAACCCTGCCCTCTGAAGGCTTATTCTCCATTGTCATAGCTTGCTCCATTGGTGTTGCAGTGCAAGTGGTACTCCACACAGTCTCTTCTCTGCACAGGCAGCTTCTTCTTTTCCTCAGAAGATAGTTTATTTTCTACCCAATGCTAAATCTCGTGTTTGTCTTACTTCTTTGAATGAGCACAAGCACTGTGGTTTTGTTCTTCTCATTTCCCAGTGCCTTTTTGCTGATCTTCTCTGCATGTATCTGCAAGGTCAGGAAAACAAATCAGTATGGAAAAGGACCTCCTGTCCCTTTTAACCTAACCTGTAGGAGGGAGAGAAGGGAAATTGCCACTTACGTGAAAGGGAGCTTTAAATATACTTGAAAAAAGCACTGTGGGAGTGAGGGTTTGGAAGGACAGGTGTTGACAAGACCATTCTCTGCAATTCACAGGGTGCCTTTATGAACTCACAGTCTCCTCCTCCACAGCAGTGTATACATACAGATGCATAGAGCTGAAACGTGTCCCAGGAAAGCGGCACTGACAGGGAATGGCCCTCTCATTTCAGCATCACTGACCATGAGGGTCAGGCACAGGGAGCTGGACTAAGACTCACCACATAGTTTGAGGGCTACCAAATGCTGACCTCTACCTTCTGCTGCCTGGGTTTTCTTCAGTACTCTCTGGTTATTCCTCTCTTTTTTTCCATTCCTCAAGGTAATCAGCTCCTTCTTCTGCACATAACTCCCCATGCACATTCCAGAGCATCAGAGAGAGCCTCCACATCTGCATAGCAACTAGATTCCTGCTGTACCATCACTGTTGCAGTGAGGCCTATAATTGAGTTCTTGTCTAATCATTCTCAAACACTGAGCCTCAAACATTCTGCTCAATTAGAAGAGCACTCCTGGAACCTCCTTGGCTGTCAGTGGAGAGGAGGGAGCTCTCCCTTTACTTCCCAATGATGAATGCTTCTTGATCGCTCATTTATGACCGTCATACAAATGTCTTATGAAAGGTGCTAACAATTCAGGCCATAATTTCTGAAATTATTTTAGTCTTTAGGTACCTGTCTTTGAACTTAGCCTTAATTGATCTATCAGATATAAGACCCTTGAACAATCTGCTTTTCCCCCAGCCCCATCCCAGGTGCTTTTTTAAAGAACAGATGTTCACTTGCTGCTTATTTGGCTTGCTTATTTTGACAAGTACTGGTGTGGAAAAGTGGCTAATTGCTCTGCCCTCCTTCCAGCATCAAGGTCAGAAAACAGAGAAATGCAGAGAGCAAAGTGAGCCCTCCTTTTAAAGCATGGAATTGGAGTCTCAGAGTGCAGCCTGGATAAACAACAACCTTTTGCACAGGTATCAGTGGTGTTCTGCAGCCCACACTACCTGTGTGCTTTGTTTGTGGTCTCTCTTTTGTGTTACATTTGTCTTACCAAATCAGCAGTAGCAAACAAATCTTTCCTTTTTGCATATATCCACACATATAACCCTCTTGCAGGGGAAAACAACAGTGCCTGTGTGTCTCAGAAAGCTCAGCATTTGTGCTGCTGAATGGAGGATGGTGGTGCTCCCTCTGCACGCTTCTAGTGTCAGTCACTAGAGCAGAGAGACAAGAAGGAGGGGACAGAAACAGCGACATAAATGTATTTTACCTCTTCCTGGTGTCATCTGTTGAACTACTTAAACTGCTTTAAAAATTAAAAGCTTTTTAAGAATACCTTTGCAGCAAAAGCCTTTTGCAAAAAAAAAAAAAAAAAAAAACAAACCAAAAAACAAAAACAAGCAGCTGCTAGAAAAAGAACATTCTTTTACAGATGATAAAAACAGAAGCCCACATGGTAGATGGTTTTCAGTCTTCCCTTTCCTCCCTCGTTTGTGTCCTGCACCAAGCCAAGCCACTCTGGGCCCATTCTGGCTTCAACTGACTGCACAATTCCAAAGGCAGAGTCAGGCTGAAGACAGCTGATGCTGGTGTGTTGCATCTTGCATTTTGAAATGTCTCATGTGGGAAAGCTGTTGACATCTGCTGTAAGCTTGTTGTGCCTCTTGAGACACTGCTTTCACAGTAAGATCAAACTCTAGGACTCCAAAAGGAGAAACTAAGTGAGGAAACCATTCAGGGTCTTGAGCTTGTTGGGTGAAATTTCTTACACTGAAATGCCCAGTGCTGTCAGAAAAGGGAGCCTAAGATTTATGCACTCAGAAATGAAAACTGAAATTGTTCCATTAGACTGAGCAGAGAGCAATTTACCTGCAGATGCCTTTACTCTAAATGAGAACATAGACACTTCACTAGGCAGAAGCAATAGACTTTGAGATAAGATGGGACTGTGAATTTGGCTTCCTTTGCAGCTCCAGGCAGCTCTGGTCTTCTTTCAGGTCTCTGGAATACTTAAAAAAACTGATACTAAAGTACTATTAACAGAAGAAGGCCCCTTACATTGTGATTGTCATCACAGACACCTTAATGAGCCCTTCCTATGGAGGGGGGCTAGATTTTGATCCCAGTGGTGTGAACCTGGGAAGTGGATTTTAGTGAATTTCAGCAGGATTCCTCTAGAGAAATCCATGTACAATGAAAATGAATCATTTTTAAAGCAATACGTTTTTATACTTCTTAGCTGCCCAATCCTTCAGCCTTAAAAATTTTTGGGGGATTCTCATGTTGGTTTGATATGGCAGTGCAAGAAGAGATCTAATTAATCACTATTCACACTCTTACAGGAATTTCCTTCTTGCAGTCCAACGTACCTCAGAAAATGACACTGAACAGCTCAGAATCTCTCTGAGGTGATGGTATGGTCACCCATCTGTATCTTGCCTGGAAGTATTTTGCAGACCTTTTGAGGTTTAGTTGCTTAAAACATCATAAAATTGTGTTTTGCCTGAACTTCTGCTCATCTCTATCTCTTAGTGGAGACAGCAGTAGCAAAGCAGTAATCCCCCCGGGACTCCTTACCTAATGCACGCTCTAAGTGATCAAGACATGCTGCTTACTTTCTCATCCACAAAAAGAGAAGTATGTGACTTACTAAGACTTGAGCAATGAAAGAGCAAAAAGCTGTAATGAAGTGTACTGATGACAGTAAAAACAGATAATTAACATGTAAAAGTTAATTGTTGAAGGCATTACACATGGACTGAGCTGTTTTATGCAGATGCAAGCTTGCTGTTTGCTGGGATGTACACTGAGCACCCTGGGCTTACACAGGGTCTTCACACCAGGGCTATGTCTTTATTCTGATGACCAGATAGCTCTGCTGACAGCTACTGCCATCACTCCATGAAGTTTACCTTGTACCATGGGCTGAAGTGCTTGTGCTGTGGCACAGCCCCAAGGCCAACACCTCAAATATGGTGTTCAGTTTTGGACCCCTCATTACAAGAAAGACATTGAAGTGCTGGAGCATGGCCAGAAATGGGCAATGAAGCTGGGGAAGGGTCTGGAGCTCAGGTCCAGAGGAGTGGCCGGATGAGGAGTGGCTGAGGGAACTGTTTAGCCTGGAGAAAAGGAAGCTCGGGGGAGGCCTTATCACTCTACAACTTCCTAAAGGAGGCTGTAATCAAGAGGGAGTTGGCCTCTTCTCCCAGGTACCAAGCAATAGGACAAGGGGAAATAGAATCAAGTAGCACCAGGAGATGTTTAAACTGGATATTTGGAAAAATTTCTTTACTGAAATAGTTTTAAAGCATTGGAAGAGGCTGCCCGGGGAAGTGGATGAGTCATCATCCCAGCAGGTATTTAAAAGATGCATAGATAAGGGACATGATGGACCTGACGGTGTTAGGTTAATGGCTGGACTCAGTCTTAGAGGTGTTTTACAGATAAAATGATTCTATATTCATCTTTCCTCTTCTTCTGTTTTAACTCTGACTCTGCTGAAAAATTGGCACCATGTTCCAGAAGTTAATCAAGCCCTTGTCTACTCTACTTTGCTAACAATTTTCGTTTAGAAAAATGCTATGAAGAGCAACCCACCAGGGAAAATGTTGTAAAATTATGCTGAAGTCCCATGCAATGTGAGCCTGCAGAATTGAGATCTTGATACCTCTGATGGTTTTGATTTAAGGCTTTAGATTAAACCACCAAAAGTACGTTCTGTGTGTATGTGTGTACGCATAACACAATAATGTTTTTACTGCACACAGATTCATACGTACAATGAGACAGAGCAAGCTGTCTGTAAATTTGGATTCAGGAAATAGATGTGCATGTATCTTGCAATGTCCTCAGGTCTCTAAAGGAGACAAACTGCAAAGATCAAGAGGATAAATTACTTTAAAAGTGGATCTCCGTTATTCCTGAAGAAGGCAGGAACAAATAGTAGACATTTGTTCTGAAATTCTACCTGGTGGTTTCTAACCTGCAATATAATTGCACTTGCTTATGTCATGACAGAGAATCCTGGAAAATTTTACAGGTGGCCAATAGACCTAATAAGTGAACCTCAGCCATCTTCTTCTGTGAAATCCTTGAAACAGTGAGACCCATGCAGCACCACCATGTCTTGGGGTCAGACTCCTCTTTCATGGAACAGAACTGACAAAACTCTGGGTAGCTTCTTGGAGGGTAGGGAAAAGGCCTTTCATGGTTGACTGGACTTTTAAATTCCTAAAGCCACCAAAGGTTCCTGAAACACAGTCTAGTCATTGTTGATACACTTGTCCATGTATTTGCTTACATTGGAGAGGTAAACTAGGAACTTTGTGAGAGGTAAGCTAAGACCTCTTTTTTGAGTCCTCTTTTCCTGTCAGACTGCTGGGATACAGATATAATCCAATCTGGATTTGAGTTATCCATGGTTTGTGGTTTAATTTTGCAAAACATGAATCTCCCAGTCAAACTGTCTCAAGAGCATCTTCCAACATTATCACATGTCTGATTTCCCCTTGTGCTGGCAGGGCTGTGAGCATCCACTGTGAGCAAAGGGAACATCTATAACCATGTGACTCCTATTGTGCTGGGTGATCTTGTGGTTCAGTCCTTCATCCAGCAGTAGGGATTGGTGTCAGGGGAAGGGAGCAGGCTAAACCAGCTACAGATCCATCGACTCTGGTGCTGAATTTTCATTTTGGCTAAGCCAGTGCCCTTGGAAAACACTAAAATCTCAATAAGTAATGCAGAACAGCATTCATCTTCTTCAATATGTGAACAATACCACTTTCATTCTCACTCTTCATTAATAGTAGTAGTAGTAGTGGTAATAAAAACAACAATAACAGTAATAATAGTACCAATAGTAATAATATTAATGCTCTGCAAACCTACTTGGTGTCCTTCATTGTGAGTCAGAAATAGAATAAGCAACATCTGGGTTTCACGTTTTTCCTGTTCCGGGTTTCCAAGAGCTGTTTGTAAGTCTTACTAGAGAGGAGAATTTCAATTCTCCTTGGGAGGAGAAATTGTCTTTCCTTGTTCTGAAGCAACCTCTCTGACTAATCCAAGGTTTCACCTAAAGTAGCTCTTGCCATATCTTCTGGATAGTTGAGAGCTGGTAAAAGATAGTGAGAAGTGGAGGAGCTTCTGAAAAAGTAATGTCCTTCAGACCCAACACGAGTGGCTCATGGTCTAGGGGTTTATCCCTCAGTAAGGTGCAAAGCCTGACAGTGCTGTGTCACTACAAATTACACCATGGATGCCTCTGCTATCATTATCATTACTGCCTATAATTTGTGTCACAGCACAGCCTTATTGCTAATTTTCCCTCCTCCTCTTATCATATAGGCCCTTTTCTGTCTGCAGGCAAGTCAGGCAGTGAGCTTTTCTGTGATGACAACAGGCCACAGTATTTACTCAAGGCAGCTGAGTTGTTGGTTTGGGGACACATGGGAAGACTGAAGGAAAAAGGAGGGCAGTCCCATTCCCTGCCTCAGCTTCACTCAAGCTGGAATCTCAGAGGTCCAAGTGAGTCCCAGGGATTCTGAAGAAAGCAGGCATGAAGAAATCTGGAAGGGATTAAAAAAGTAAGTCTGTTTATGGTCACTCAGCAGTATTAAGGTCTTTCTCACTCCAGATACTGAGGCCAAATTCATGGGAATAAAGTGCTAGTGTGATTTCGTTTGGGTTGACAAAGCTAGCCAGCCTTGACAGGAGCAGCCATAGAAACAACCAGCAGGGTCCTGCTGCACAGGATGCCCGTGGCAGGGCAGCCTAGCACTCCTGCCAGCAAGAGGTGATGGAGCCAGAGCGCGTCACCACCAGAGTTGTTGACCCAGCACAGCCTGGTCCCTAGGGGTGTGTCCACTTCCACTGGCGACCCAGGAGTGCTCAGTCACCGGTTGTCTGTCAGGAGAAGGATTGGGAGCTGGATACAGGTGGAGTGATTTGAAGCATCTGGAATGCTGCTCTGGTTCTTCAGAAGAGAAAACACCACTGCTAAAGTCAGTGTTGGGTCCATACATAACCTAGCTTTGGAAGAAGTCCCAGCAGTTTTGCTGGTTATCATTTCTTCAGGGCTGGGAGAAGAGCGTGAATTAGGGTTAGAGGTTTCGTTTCCTGACTGTAACTTTGCTTTGCTCTGACTTCATATGGACGACAAAATCTGATCAGTGTCACGTCTTACAACCTACGTACTCGGTGGAGAGTCAGAAAAACAGTGCCATACAAACTTTGAGGATAGAAAATGTTGA